CCGGGGATCGAGCCCCACATCGGGCTCCCTGCTCAGCGGGGAGCCTGCTTCTCCCTCTCCCACTCCCACTGCTTGTGTTCCCTCTCTCGCTGTGTCTCTCTCTGTCAAATAAATAAATAAAATGTTCATTTTTTTAAAAAGAAGTGATTAAATAGTTTAATAACCATTTCTGGTGTCTAGGTGCAGACTCACTGGATGTCACTTCTGCCTGGTCACAGATGCTGGCCTCAGGGTGAATAGAGGGAGGCATTCTGGACTCTGAAGGAATGGGAACGTAGGGATTGCCCTCCTACATTCCTAGGGATTGCCCTGAGGCCTGCTCTTTGTCCTGCCCTTGGGATCCTACTGTCAGCTTTTCTCTGAGCAGCTCCTAGGCTCCGGGCTGAGCAGCAGTCAGTTGACAAAGGGGTATTGAGCCCTCACTGTGCATTTGACAACTTTCCAGGTATTATGGAAGTTCCTTGAGATCCCTTTTTGTTAGGGCCCCGGGCAGATGGAAGTCATCCTGAAAGACCATTACAGAGCAGGATCTGGCCATTCCTGGCAGGTCTACAGGACTAGCCAGTGTGGTGAATGGCAGACAGACAGAGTAGGTCCTCTTGAATTTCCATAGCCTCCCCATTTTATCAGTTATAGAAATATGGATATGGATACCTGGATAGATATAGTAGAGGGGATAGGTAAAGATATTAGTTCACATCTTATTTTCTTAATTGGTTTGAGAACATCCTGACCTCTGGTTCTGGATTTGAGGCCAGCTATGGTTCCACAGAGAGAGACATGTCTTCTTAGGATCTGTGGTTAACTGTGTCCACATTCCTTGCCTGTGTCATGCTAGGCAGAAGCATCATCCTTGGAATAGGCTGAGAGCTGAGAAAAGAGGGATCTGATTTTTACCACAGCTTATACCCCAGGAATAAGATTGGCAGTTCTTGAATGGAGGGAGTTGTCCTGGAGGTGTCCTCTGGTGATTTTTCTGGCTGGGTTTTTGCTGGGTAAAGGGCAGGAAGGGGTTGCTATGGTTTAGTAGCTCATCTGTCCCAAAGCTACCGGCTCTGCTTTGGTCCTGGCCCTTCTCCTTCCCCATTCTGACAAGTGGCTAACTTTTGGGAATAGAATAAAGGCCGCTGAGTGTGAGCCCACCCAGGAGCAGAAGAGTTTGGGGTTCAAGCAGCCACCCCTTTGTGGGGCCTGCTGCCCTGCCCGAGGCCCCTCTTTAGCAGCTCACAACCACGGGCCTATCTTGGAAAGGGCTGTGGCAGCCTGGTTAGTGCCGCTGTTTTTATAAGCTAATGAGGGCAGAGTGTGAGCCACGGGCAATGATGCTGGGATATTAACTGTGACAGGAAGCTTGATCATAATTATCTTAACGAGGATAGGGTTAATTACAGTGGAAACTTAAAAGTTCTCTCTGTTTGAATCCGCTAGAGCCGAATGCGTTGTGATGTTTTGTCATTTTGATATGACTTTGGAAAAGGCACTGGGACTCTCCCAGCAGCCGCAGCGGCTCCTGGGGTAGCCCAGCCTGAGAGCCCTGTGAGTGAGGTAACCTAGATGGTACCTGTGGGTGAGATCACGGGCAGCTTTCCTGCTGGGGAAGCGGGAGGCAGGCAGCCTGCGATGGGCTTCGGAGGTGCTGATTACATTTCCCCGAGCAAACCACCTGCCACAGGGCAGACCCAGGGACCGCACACACCTGGGTCTGCCTCCCTGCCCTTGGTGTCTCTTTACTGGGCTGGGAAGACCTCTCTCCAGCTCCCTGTGCCAAGCTAATGGGTGAAGCCTTGTCCTCCCTCTCCAGCCCCTGACCACGGCAGACAGGTCTGCCTCGCCTGCCCAGCCCAGCCCTCAAACATCTATCTGCAGACTGCAAACCAGGCTGGGGAGGAGTAACTCTCGAGTGACAGTCACCCCCTGCACCCGAGCTCTTGGGTCTGGGGTGCACTTTGCTGTCCACACAGAAGGTGATAGCAGAGAAATACAGTCCTGTCATCTTTCTTCTAGCTGCCCCATGAAACAGCATAGATCTGTGCGGATCCTTAAAGCCTTGTTTGCCTTGTCATTTTATTTAACCGCACACACCTCTTTGTATAGGCATCTTGTATATAGAGCTGTGAACGCAAAGATTGCTGCAAATAATTTCTTTCCTCTACTCCTTCCACGAAAACAGCAACAACCGTAACAACAGAACTCAGATTTTTAAAAAGCAAAAAATAAAGCATCCCCCAGGTGCGTGTTCATTGGCCTCTGCATGCCAGCCAAGCCCCAGAAATCCTGTCCTCTCCAGTTTTACCCTTCACTACCCTGTCTCCTGTCCCCAGTCCCTCAGCTCTGAATTTAGCCGATTAAATCACCACTACACTGATGACATGAAGACAGGGATTTATTAATTAGCAACCGCCCACATAACACAACTCCCTTTTTACTGAGCAGCTAATAACATTACATGGCAAAAAGAGTCTTACAACCAGACAGGTGACAGGGGATTTGAGCCTGAACTTCCCCGGCTCTTCTGTGAAGTCTCACTCAGAATGGAACTCTGCCCCAGAGGCTGCCCCTGAGAAAGGCGGCTCTGTGGGCACTCCCTCTGGCGTTCTCCGCCTTGTCCCTCTTCATGCTGTGTCATTTTGTGTTTTGCCTCCCCCAAAGCACTCTTGGAAGGGAGCTTTCTTTTGCTTGCCAGTTGCCAACCATTTGCTGATTCTCATGATAAGAGTATTATATTTGCATAACATAACTCGGGAACAATGTGTATTTGGATGCTGCCTTTGACCAGAGCCCAACTGATGTTTGTGCACAAAGGACTTATTAGCCATCCATAAGGCGCCCTGAAGGGAGGTGGCCTTAACTCCCCTTGTGGTAAACAGGGCCTCCTCGTCCTGAAAAGCACTTTTGGATCATCACTCATTAACCCCCATGGAGGAAGGGACTTCAGGAGAGGTCGAAGTTTCCCTGCAGAAGCCAGACTGCCTGCACACCTTGGCATATTTGCTCGTCTGTCCACCCCCTGCATCCAGAACATACCTCCCCCCAACGCAATACACACTCTAGGGTCACAGCTACCAGAAAAATCAATGAATGAAAGGAGGAAGGAAAAGAAGGGAGCCAGCATTTGCTAGTGACATGTTAGTCTTCTGCTTGTATTCTTTAAGATCCTGTGAGCTGGAAGCCACACAGAACGAACGAGGGAGCTCAGCTGGGTTATTGAGGTGCCCAATTCATACTTCAAGTAAATGGTAGAGCTGAGGTAAAGTCCCAGAGTCCCAAGTTCCATGTGTGTGAGTTGTGTTTTGCCTCCCTGAAACATGAGGAAGAAGAGAAAGGAGGAAGAAATGAAACACAATAACCCCATTGACCCTTACCCTCAAATGTTAAGCGGTATCGCCTTTCTACTGTGGAGCAGGTAGTGCTGGTCTTAGGAGTTAGGGGTGGTCAGGGTGCTGGGCCCTGGGGTGGGGGTGGGGGCCCTGGGGGTGAATCAGGCAGGAATGGGACCTGCTGAGGGAGTTCTGGGCCCGGTGGAGTCCGGGGGTTCAGTGACTCACAGGCATTGACTCCCTATTTTGGAGTTGGCTGGGCAGAGGTCCCACAAGGGAGATGCAGCTGTCCGGAGAGAGAGCCTTGGTGCTAAAGTTCACACTCACATCGGTTGTGCGGGCGCTGCCCACACAAGCAGGCGGGTCTGTGATGGACATGCTATCAGTAAATGAATGAATAGTGTAGACAACATCTCCCCGATTGGTCACATTTTATAGAATAGCCAGGAGATCCCGTGCGAGTCCGCCCTCGGGTCGACGTCGTAGCTCAGCTGTCAGCCTGTGCAAGCTCAGCACGGCTCTAGGGTCTGGCAGGTGAACGAGCTGGGAGTATGTGCGTCTGTGGAAGTCCCTCCACCGGGCGGCTTTCCTTAATGAACGTCTGTGAGCGGCCCAGGGAGCACATGCGCACAACTGCCCCTCACCGCAGTCACCCCCGCCCCCCCCCCAACACTCCTGAGCCCATAACGTTAAGAGTTAACTTTCAGCTAAGTGTAAAAACAAGGCTATTTTTTCCCTTTCTGGTACTTTTTTTTTTTCCCCTGAGCCGGGTGCTTAATTCTTTCAGATGCTTGATTATTTACTGCCTTGACATCTACATTGCTGCCATTCCACGCTTCTTTCAAAAATAAAGTGAGAAATCCACTTTCCATAAATTAAAACCGTAACTTCAAGCCAGGAGTATTGAAACAGAAATTCCCCCAACTCCTTCCTTAAACCACTGCCCCCCCCCCAAACAACAAAAAAAAAAACAAAAAGAAAAATCATGAAAGAAAAAGAAACAGTGCTCTCCGACTGGAGTGATCATGTGCTTCTGCAGATGCCTTGCCTTCTGGGGGCAGCCACAGGGACACTGGGCAGAAGCAAATTAAGTGATTAGTAAAGAAAAAAAGCAGAGGGGGGAAAAAAGTCAAAGGCAGCAAAGGGAGAGAAAGGAAGCCTTCCTTGCCTTTTCCTGGACTGTGCAGAGGAGAACCGCTAAGAAATGATACTTGAAGTTATATTTATTATTGTAAGAGGGGTATGATATTTCTGGGCAGGAATGATGGATGACAACTTAAATTTGTGTCCAGGGAATGAAGGTGAACTGTGACAGAGTTATTTATCTTGGGAATGGAGGTTAGGGTCAGCCGAGGCTGGGTGCCTGAAGGCACAAGACATTGACAAATTTATCCTGCAGGCCGTATCTGAAGCCCTTTGTTTTGGATCCTGGCTACTCACTAAGTGACCCTCATCCTTCATGTTGGCAATGCGTGAAGGATGCGGTGAGTGCGAGCGGCCCCTTCTCCCCCACCGCCCCCACCCCAGCTCCTGCTACTAATTCTTGTCATTCACTTTGCTGACAGGCACCAAGCCCAAACTATTCCCAGTCCTGAAAGGGAAGGTTAAAATATTTATTTCGGCTCATAATGGCCTCCCTGATTTAGTGCAGGATCATTTTTCCTGTTGCCTTTGTCATTGCAGGTCACTGGAAGGACTGAGCGCGTTCGGGAGCCTGGAGGAACTCATCTTGGACAACAATCTGCTCGGGAACGACCTCGTGTTGCCAGGGTTACCCAGGCTCCATACCTTAACCCTCAACAAGAACCAGATATCCTTGGCTCTGCCCCCTGCCTCCACTCCCCGCCCTGCCCCACAGTGGTCCCCGGCGGCACACCCCCCCTCCCCGCCCCACACAAATACCTGCAAAATGTCAAATGAGTTTTATGTGTCAGCTAAATTAAAGTATGTGAAATGCAGTCCATGGGCAGACAAAGCGTTCTGTCTTCTGGCACTCGGGACACTTCAGAGTAATTTATTATAGGTCATTCATAAATGAAATGCACCATTATATCTTCCTGTTGCTCCATTTTAGTGTGGAGATCTAAGTTATGGCTGTGAAGAAATCTTTTTAATAGATAAAAATAGAGAAAGAAAATAATGTCACTGCTGCCGAGAAGGCAGAGCGGGTTCTGTTGGCTTGGGCTTGTGTGGGAGGGCGACCTCTGGTGGACAGTACGGAGTGGTGCCTCTAAGCGAACTTGGCCTTCACGGAGGCTTCTGGAAGGCTCTGGTTCAGGCTCAGGGAACAGGTCTGGCAAAGGAACGGGGGAAGGGGCAAAGATGCGAGATATGTGTGAAGCCCAGGCGTAGCTCTGCCCTCCGTGGTGTTTGCTGTACTATGGTGATGAGAGAGGTCTAACAGAGCTGAATTTCTATTGCATGCCTTCTCCTTAAGTCGGTGAGGACCTGGCCAGCCTGGGATGAAGCTCAGGGGGATGAACTGTTCTGGATTCTATAGAGAGGCTGAAAATGGAATTGGAAGCTTTCTGCAGCATTAGGCACCTAGCTCCTCTGTACAGTTTTGGGTCTCCCTGCTGCCACACTGCGAGCTGAGAGGCAGGGAGTGTTGTCCGTTTTGTAAACTCCTGTATCCTTCACACATAGAATAATGCCTGGTATGGAGCCGAGGTTCAGTGAATGTTTGTGTGATGAATGAATGAATGAATGAATGAATGATTGATTATCATCCACTGTTCTTTATTGAGCAGTCCTGTGGTCAGGCACGGTGCTGGGTAATAAATGTTAAGCATATTATTTTTTATTTTTACCAAACCCTGGCAGAAGGTGACCACTTACCTGAATGAGGAAAGAGGTGAAGTATAGACCCACAGCCAGACATTGACCAAAATGCTAGGTCCCAGATTTAGCCTCAACTGTGGCCGTATCCAAAATTCTTTCCATTCTTCTGTGTTGCCTCAGACTTGAAGTACAATCACCTTGTTTTATTAGTGAAACATTTCAGACCTAGAGTAGTTTAATCACTTGTTCATGTTCACATAGTAAGTTAGAAGTGAAAAAGAGATCAGGGCATTTTCCCTAGAGTGTGAAATAAAACCAGATATATATATATATATATATATATATGTTACATTTATTATGCATGCATATGTCTGCTTTAAGAATGATAGGCCAGATCATTTATTAGCCTCTGCTTATATTTCAAGTCATAAGACAGTATTTTCCTTATTAGGTAAAATATGCTACCGTGACAATTATAAATTGGCACTTTAATAGAAGTAGAAGGAGAGGGCCTACAAGTAAATATCAGTCTTATCATAATGCGGTATTGGTGGATTTTTTTTTTTTTCCTCTCCTATCCTTTGGTCAACCAAGTTTCCTAGTCCTTGTTCTAAATATTGTTACAGTCAGTGTGTCTTATGGCTCCCTTGACTGTCTTAGGTGATCGACTGGATGATATTCTCAAATCAATCAAGAACAGAAGGGTTATTAGAATAGAACTGGATGATAAGGTTCCTTCTTTAGGCCCCAGTGCTTATATCCTGTGTCCCACACTGTTGTAAAGTATTAGCCTTTGGACTGGGTTCAGGAGTCAGCTTAATCATGTTTAGCTATGTGGCTGTGGACAGGTCAGCCTTTGAAAGCCTCTGTTTCTCATTTTGTATGTATGTGTGACATCACAGCTTCCACTTGCCTATTAGGACTGGTGAAAAAGAAAAAAGGAACGTATGAAAGCCTTATTTGAACGTTGGACTCAAAGTGCCATGATAATGTGAGCAACATGGGTTTCTGCATGGCTGAAAACCAGCTGCCTTTGCACTGGGATGTTGTCAAGTTGACAATATAAGAAACGGTGCCATGAGAAGGACTTCCCGAATAGCCCACACACCAACTCACAAGGACTTTGTCTGGCAAATGCTGGACAAATGCTAATCCCAAACTCAATTCCTCTTCTCCCTCAGCAACTTCCTGGCCAGTTCTCTGTCGCATTAACTGGTGCATACTAAGAAATGTAAGCTCATTTCAGCACAAGCCTGAGAAAAACAATTAAAAGAGGAGCATGCCAACTGTGAAAGAACATCATTTCACATAATCCCAGTTTGCAGATGAACTCATGGGTGATTTTTTTAATCAACCTGTGATTTGTATAATAATCAATCAGTGAAAAGTATTTGTTGGATACCTAAGTGTCCAAAATAGGTAGCTTATAGTATTACTTTCCTCTCTTACTGCTGACATTTGAGGAGACATTGAGTAAATATTGACAATTGACAGGATACCTGATTAGTCTCATTAGGTTAGACTAATAAGTAAGATTCATGCTTCATGTGAATTTCCTAAGCATTATTGTCTCCCATTTTAGAGGGCTCATTTTCATAACTGGCACAGAATATGCTGAAAATGCACAGGAATCCATTCTGGATTTTTTTTTTTTTAAGATTCCACATAAAAGATCATATGGTATTTGTTTTTCTCTGACTTATGTCACTTAGCATAATGCCCTCAAGGTTCATCCATGTTGTGGCAAATGACAAGATTTTATTCTTTTTTATGGTTAAATTATATACATATATATGCAATTATAGAAATTATAGAAATTATATACATATATACATGGCTAATTATATACAATAAATTATATGTAATTGTGTATGTATATATATATATATATACACATATATATATATATTTATATACACAAAAGATGTTGAGCATCTTTTCATGTGTCTGTTGGCTACCTTTATATCCTCTTTGGAAAAATGTCTATTCAGATCTTTTGCCTATTTTTAAGTCAGATTGTTTTTTGCTATTGAGTTATGTGAGCTTTTCCTTTATTTTATTTTTATTATTATTATTTTTTGAGAGAGAAAGAGAGCAATAGTGGGGGGTGGGACAGAGGGAGAGGGCGAGAGAGAATCCTCAAGCCGATTCCCCATTGGGTGTGGAGCCCGAGGCAGGGCTTGATCTCACAACACTGAGATCATGACCTGAGCCAAAATCAGAAGTCAACTGACTTAACTGACTGAGCCACCCAGGTGCCCCAGTTTTTCATATATTTTAGAAATTCCTTTTCAATTATATGATTTGCAGTCATTTCCTCCCATTTAGTAGGTTGCCTTTTCATTTTTTAAATGGTTTCCTTTACTGTGTTGGAAGGGTCTCATTTTTTTCCTTTAAGTTTTTATTTAAATTCCAGCTAGTTAACATACAGTGCAATGTTACTTTCAGGTGTAGAATTTAGTGATTCATCACTTACAACACTCGGTGGTCATCACAAGTGCACTCCTTAATCCCCATCACCTGTTTCACCCATCCCCCTGCCCACCCCCCCTCTAGTAACCCTCCATTTGTTCTCTATAGTTAAGAGTCTGTTTCTTGGTTTCCCTCTCTTTTTTTTCACTCCACGTTCATTTGTTTTTTGTTTTTTTTTTTAAGATTTTATTTATTTATTTGACACAGAGAGACATAGCGAGAGAGGGAACACAAGCAGGGGGACTGGGAGAGGGAGAAGCAGGCTTCCCGTGGAGCAGGGAGCCCAATGTGGGGCTCCATCCCAGGACCCTTGGATCATGACCTGAGCCTAAGGCAGACGCTTAATGACTGAGCCACCCAGGCACCCCCATTTGTTTTGTTTCTTAAATTCCACATATGAGTGAGATCATATGCTATTTGTCTGTCTTTGACTGACTTCGCTTAGCATAGTAGTCTCTAGCACCATCCACGTTGTTGCAAATGGCAAGATTTCATTCTTTTTGATGGCTGAGTAATATTCCCTTGTATATATGTTTCTCATTTTTAAAGGAATAAATTGGGCTGGAGGATGGTTGTATTCTCAGTGTTGCTATCACTAGAGGAGATTAGCAGGATTCTTGGCTCTACAGAGCAGAGGGATTTTCTTTGTCTTTGGTTGAAACCTTTTCCCTTTGCATTCCTCAGCCTCTCCAATCTGTAGTGGTAATGCTGGGGGAGAAATGACAGTGGTAGGGGAGGAACTGAAGCAGAAGGCAATGTGTAGCTGTAAAACTGGTCAGGTATATTGCTGTGCTGATGGAGAGTACTTTATTACCAGGAGATAAAAAAAGATACTAATTGACTCTTTCAGGATGCAGCCTGATTTCTCTCTCCTCTGGTCTTCTGGTGTGATCATGAAGATTGGCTTACTTTTCCCATGTACTTAACCCAGAAGTCAGAGAATGAAGGCCAGGTAAAAGCAGGAGTAATACCATATGGCATTCTCTTAACCTAATATTTCTGACTCCACATTTTCAGCCAACTGACTCTCCTATTGTCTTGAAAGTACTGCAGACTCTTTCAACAGTTACTCTGTTCCAAACTGCTATTGCTACTCCGTGAAATGCCTTGGGATTTGGGCTCTATCAGCCTTGCTGCATAATAACCTACTTCAAAAGTTCGTGGCTTAAAACAACAACTGTGTTATTTGTTAACAATTCTGCATGTCAGCTATTTGAGCAGGGCTCAAATGGATGGTTCTTCTGTGGATCTTGCTTTGGGTCCTTAGACAGCCACAGTTACCTGGAGGCCTGGCTGGGATTGGATGGTCTGAGATGGCCTCACTCGTATGTCTGGAAGTTGGTCCTGGTTGTTGGCTGAACAACATGCCTCCAGTAGGATAGCACAGGACTCTCCACATGGGGCAGGTGTTCCAAGAGCAAAGCCCAAATGTACAAATACTTTTCTGCCCTAGGGCCAAAGCCAGTCACATACCAAATGTAGAGCCAGTATGATAGGGGACTATACAGGTGTGTATACAAAGAGGCATGCCTCGTTCCTATAACAATCCTACGCACGGACCT